TGTAAGGACTGATATGAACTGAATCAGGCTTTTCTGTGTTGTGATAGGGCAGGAGCGTACCTGTCGACGCGGCGGCCTGCTGTCTATTAACTAATATATAACATGTGAATACATATATATAGCAAGCAAGAACCAATACGAGCAGCTCTGCCGGCCCCCTGGGTCTCCGGATCGGGCCATAGCCTCCGATATAAATAACCGTGTCTGAGTTCGGAGGACTCCTATACTGTATCTGTAACTGTAACTGTAACTGAATCTGAATCTATTCCCTGGGTGCAAGTGCACAACAGGGCACTCTGTACTGTAATGCTGATCAGCCTGATATAGGGAAAGCTTCATCCCATCTTCGTCCAATCTGGGGATGGCATGCCACTCCTTGGAGTGACGTAAACCCACCCGCTCAGTGGGAGACACAGCTACCAACCCAGGGGCGGCGAGGACGCTCAGAAGGGTGCCCTCACGACACAATCAAGTCTCAACAGTCAATAAGCACATATATAGCAAGAATGTTTAAACTGAAAATACTATCTGAATTCTGATTTCCTATTCTGATCTCTTTCTGTGCTAAACTGATTCTTATACTGCTTTATAATGAGTCTGTGATCTTTATCTAACTGCATGGCTAATCTTTAGCCAAGACATCATCTGTCTGTATGGCTAATCTATAGCCAAGATATCATCTGTCTGTATGGCTAATCTGTAGCCAAGATACTGTCTGTCTGTCTGATTTTACTTTATTAACTTTTATTCTCAATATATGTCATATTATCCTAAAACATGCTTGCTAATCACATACTGGGCTATATTGTGTCTGGAATGCTAACTCGCCACTTGACGCTGCTTTACTAACTTTCGGACTGAGTACGATATAACAACGCAAACTAGATTTACTTGAACTTGCACAATACTCAATATTCAACTCCGGGAGTTCTATTAAGAAGTTTACTATGATATACAAGGCTAAAGCTACTAACTTGCTGAAGAAACTGGCTTTACATACCTTAACCTCGGGTTATCCGACTATCGGACGAAGCTCGGTNACATATATATCAATTAGAACTAAATACACTAATATTCTGGAAGAAAACATCACTTTTGATATATATATATATATAGCCCAAACTTTGGCTTATCGAAAAACAGTCGAAAACTTGCTATTTCTCGAAAGTCCTAAAGGGAGAAATACTC